GTCGAGTCCATTGTACGATTCGGACTATGGCGTGAGTTTGTGTTTATAAATCACTATCAAATAGTAATGATACCAGGTATTCGCGAAAAAGTAAGCGTATACTGTCCCACCGGTGACACAGACACAAACACATGCAAGGGCAAAGCAATTGTTCACTTTTTAAGGCTATGCTGAGGCCTTGAATAGTTGATCAAACATCCTCTGAGCAAGAGCCGAATGACGCAAATTGAATTCTTCGTTGAAAGTTAATGCTCGATTTAGCCTACTCTGTTTTGAAATTTGGTATATTCCCACTCTAGAGTAGATACCTCATATTTCAATTTGGAACCGGGCGCCATGACGACAACAACACTTTTAAAACGGGGCACAGGTACACGAGTCCGCTTTATTATACCATTCCGAAAAGGGGTCAGAGGTAATAAATACACACTTGTTGAATAATTAACATCCTGTGAACCACAAGATGAACTGACCCATGAAGATCCGGGTTAGGATTTGTCTTCAGCAACCCATGTTTGTCGTAAGAGGCGACTAACGGAATCGGGTGGTCAGGCTCGCTGACTTGCTTCTATGAATGTCATCGTATCCCCATTGCTCGGAATGGTGCTCATGACATCAATCACTGGATTGTCTGGTCCAGATTCTATAATTTGCAGAATATTGCCGTGTTGTGTTAAACAACAAACAAACAAACTTCGAACATGAAATCTCCCATTGTAGGGGTGACAGGTTGTAGAAATCGTGTGAAAAATGCTGAACGAATGTTATAACTATTACAACGATACTAAAACTTTTATGTGTTTTTACATGTTCATTATTTACTTTCTCATATTTAACGCGAGCTGATCTATCATTATATTGAGTGAGTTTGGTTTTACGCCGCTTTTAGCAATATTCCAGCCGTATTCCACGGCGGGGACACCAGAAATGGGCTTCAAACAGTGTGCCCATGTCGGGAGTCGAGCCCGAGTCTTCAGCGTGACGAGCGAACAATTTAACCACAAGGCTACCCGACCGCCCCTATTATAATGTGTGAGCGCGGTTAGCTTTCCTCACAAAACCATATACCAGTAAAATCCTAAAGTGCGTAAAGATTCCGATTTTCAGGTTAGAAAATAAATATATAACGTTCGTCCGAGTTTGAATTAATCATTTTTAATAATTTACTGCATAGATGGTAAATTGAGGTTTAAGGGTTTTTAAAAATGTGATGTTTTTATGTGTAAACAAAAACTGAGGTTTTTTTAGGTGAAAGCAATAAAAAATTATTGCTTTTCTGCTACAATGGTAGTTTCGCCCTGTCAGTTGCGGCCTGACGCAGTGATTCGTGTGAGTTTTGTTTAAATGGATTTCTTCATGCTTGATGAGCTGTTTTGTGCAAGTGCCGTGCTGTGATATCGGGACATTTGTTTGTGAGATTTCGTGGCTTTTGGCAGCGAGCACTGTTTTCCTATCCCCTCCAGCCAATTCCTTACGTTGATGGTTGATGGTTGATGGTTGACAGAGATGTCGATGCATAGCGATCACAACAAGCTTTCTAAACAAAACGTTGTCGTGAATTAGGTGTATTAGCCAATTCTCATATTGATATGAAGTTTTTCGTTAAGTTTTGTATTGAGGTTTGTTTGTTTGTTTGTTGTTCTACGCCGCATTTAGCAATATTCCAGCTATATGACAGCGGTCTGTAAGTAATTGAGTCTTGACCAGACAATCCAGTGATTGACCTCATGAGCATCGATCCACGCAATTGGGATCGATGACATGCTTCAACCAAGTCAGCGATCCTGACAGAAATAAATCAAATGGTTTGAGAGTTAGAGGTGATTGTTTAATGTTATGGAAAGACTTTGTGGTCTTAACATAACTGAACGCTTTTCTGAGATTGCAAGCATTCCATCAAATCCTTTGAGTTTTTTGAGAATCCACATGGAACTAATTCCCCTTGTCTTAGAACCGACCCCTGCTTGGATACTGGCGTGCAGGTAAAGCCTAATTCAGGACGGATCCTAAGTCCATATTCAAATGATGCCACGTGTATGGATGTTTCTGCTGCTAGCAAACGTAATGAAACATGGAAGACGGTCGTGTAACTGCAGAAACAAAAGATGGCCACCCCTTTCAAACCTCCTGCTAGTTAAGCTTACGAGTCCTGGATGGTAACCCCATACAACCTTATCTGTCCATGGTGTGGGACACTTGTCTCGGTGACAACGCAACAGCGGAACTAGTGAGTGAGTGAATAAGTGGGGTTTAACGCCGCTTTTAACAGTATTCCAGTCATATCGCGGCGTGTCAGCTTAATGTGGAGGGAAAGCCCGAAGTGATGCAGATCTCAGACGTTTACCACTTCGGTGAAACCCACGAGCACGGGTATGGTGCTGACAAACCTAGAAACATAACGTGGCGAACCGGGATTCGAACCCACAATAATAGGTTTCTGGCGTGCCCAAGGGACGCAACCCGCGAATCGCGGCGCCTTAGGCGACTGGGCCACCCGTGCCCCCACACCGGAACTAACACCTGGTAGGATGGCAGAGGTTGTATAACATGTCGTAAATAGTTGAATTCAAGAACAATTACTGTCGTCTGACGTTCATGGGTGTATTCAGGACCCTCAAAGCGAAAACGAAATTTGAAAAAATGACAAGGTCACATTCTTAAGTATGACGTCTGAAGGATCGCTTGTTTTCAAGCCTTAAGCCACCAATGCTTTGTATATATTTTCAATTTTCTTTTTATCCCAGATACAGTGTAGATAAAAGACTTGACCTACATTTATGTCACACTGACATGCAACACACATCCTGAAATCGGCCATGTGTGATGCATTATGATGTTTAAGGATGTAAAAGACAAGGTCCTTTTTATGTGATGACGCTTCAAGGTCAGGATGTATCTGGTCGTTTGTTGTCTGGTGTGTCGGTTTATTATAGCAGTGTGTGTTCGGAAAAGTTCATCTGAACAGACAGAAATCTGAACGGACTGTGTGCATGTTGTTTTACGTCGCAGTCCGCAATAGTCAGTCAGTCAGTCAGTCAGTCAGTCAGCCAGCCAGCCAGCCAGCCAGCCAGCCAGCCAGCCAGTCAGTCAGTCAGTCAGTCAGTCAGTCAGTCAGTCAGTCAGTCAGTCAACAATCCGAAGTGGTCGAAGGTCTTCACTGCCACCAAGACAGCTTCCTTAGTTATGTCTTGATAAGGGGCGGTCCGGTAGCCTAGTGGTTAAAGCGTTCGCTCGTCACGCCGAAGACCCGGGTTCGATTCCCGACATGGGTACAATGTGTGAAGCCAATTTGTAGTGTCCTCCGACGTGCTATTGCTGGAATATTGCTAAAAGCGGCGTAAAACCATACTCACTCACTCACTCACATCTTGATTAGCTGACTTGCACTGTGGTACCGTCTGAATTAAGGAAGTGTCTTGGGATATATTAATACTGCCTCCAAGACTGGAAGTTACTAATCTTGACGTTAACTTAATAAACGCCAACAGTCGTTTTGATGCGTAGTTTGTATGTGGTTTAAGTTAAAACATTCTGGATACTCCAGGGTGGTGTCTACTCATAGTTTCGTTAAATGCCACGAAAACATTCAATTGGTAAGCTATGAATTGGAAATAAGGCCCAGATCTACATAATAGACACATTTTAATATAGTTCAATAAAATTATAAGCATAAACAAATTTTCAGAAACTGCTTCAATCCAAATAAAAATTAGATGTACACGTCGCAGCGCAAGGGAGAATTGCGTATTGAATGTTTTGTGTATGTACACGTGACGCAGGCTAGATAATACCCCGGATTATACGTAGCTTATTAATGATGATTTTTGCAGTATTTGATTGATCATTATTTATTAGAATAAATATACATTTTCCAAAGTCAAATTCATATTCTCCGTATTTTTCAACACATTGTACCAATGTATGCTAAGATGGTTAATAATGTTGGTATGATAAGGTCGTAATTACTGGTTGTTAGTTGAATAATGAAACAACCCGTGAAGATCCGGGGTAGAATGTGCCTTCGGATATATGTTTTCAGCAACCCATGCTTGCCGTAAAAGGCGACTATGCTTCTCGTAAGAGGCGACTAACGGAATCGGGTGGTCAGGCTCGCTGACTTGGTTGATGCATGTCATCGATCCAAACTGCGTGGATCGATGCTCATGAGGTCAATCACTGGATTGTTTGGTACAGACTCGATTATTTACAGACAACCGTCATATAGCTGGAATATTACTGAGTGCGGCGTTAAGCAAACAAACAAAGCTCGACTGTCCATCAAATAATAGAACTTTCTCATCAAATGTGTACAGCGCGAGATAACACAAACTATTGTATTGTATTCTGTGATGTATCAAAAGCCTTTGATCGTGTATTGCACAGTGGGGATGTGTATAAATCAGAGAGGTATGGTATAAAAGGCCAATTGTTCAAATGACTTACGAGTTACATAAGTAATCGTAGCCAAAGCGTATTTGTGAATGGGGAAATATCCAAACCAAGATACATGAAGGCTGGCGTGCCACAGGGATCCGTGCTTGGTCCTTTACTCTTTATTGTTAATGTTAATGACATTGCTGATAAATTAGACTGTATGACAAGACTTTTTGCCGTCAATACATCGATTGGCATGTCATCCAATGATAACAGTGTACTGGAACGTTCCTTAAGCACAAATTTAGCAATGAATCTTAAGTGAATGGGCGAAACTTTGGCTCATAACGTACAATCCCGAAAAGACTTAATCTGTTCTATTCTCTCTCAAAGACAACATTGGAGGTCTACAACTATATTTTAACGGAAATGACATCAGCTCTGTAAACTGTCATAAGCACTTGGGTGTTATACTTGGAGCCAGTGGCAAATGGTCTTACATAGATACCATAATAAAAACAACTTCCAAGATGATTTACTCAATGAGAAAACTCAAACATCTACTTCACAGAAGGACTATTAGCAATATATATAAAATGTTCATAAGACCACACTTTGATGTGAGGTTTGGGATGGTTGCACCGAAGGACAAAGTGAGAAATTAGAACAATTACAATTAGAAGCTGCACGCATTGTAACTGGTCTACCTAAATATGCCCCCAGGCATTCATTATATAACGAAACCGATTGGGAACCCTTAGTTGAGCGTAAAAAGAAACGTAAACTTTGTCTTTTCTTCAAAATTAATCATAATATGGCCCCTTCCGTTGCTACAAAAAAACTCATACAGTCTCAGAAAACATCAGTGTTGCTCTCACAAGACTAAGACATTCGCGTGAATCCTTTCACCCATTGACTATCCGATTGTGGAACTCTATTCCGATATCAGATCGAACTTCTACGATTTCTTGTTTTACAAATTCTTTACAAAAGCACCACCCCACGTTACCTTAGCATATGGAAATAGAAAATATAATATCTTACACACAAAACTGAGATACACGTCAGTTGAATTATGATTTATATAGAATTGGTATAAAACATCACCCGAACTGTACATGTTCAAATACAGGTGAAAATGCATATCATTATCTCATGGAATGTACATTGTTTAGTCAACAGCGTGAAATTATGTTTAACAGCCTTTAAAATATTGATCATAACATACCTGTTGATGTACACTTACTGATATACGGCAATGCAGATCACGTTGTTACAGAAAATGAAGCTATATTTAAGGCAGTACAACATTATAATTGTACAACTAAAAGATTTGTGTAAAGAACTGTTCATTCAACAATGCATGTCTCCCCTTCAAACTCTCTCTCTCTCTCTCTCTCTCTCTCTCTCTCTCTCTCTCTCTCTCTCTCCATTTTATGTCTCCTCTATAGTGATGTATGCATATATATTGATTTTGAAAATGTGAAATTTTGTAAATACCAGGGAGAGGGCAATCTAAGTATGAAAAAGGTGTCCTCCAATCCCGTTCACTCCTTGTGAATAAATATGTTTAAATCAAATCACATAAACATAAATATTTTTTTATAAATGATAAATTTATCTATCAACGGTGACGAATGGATTTCGTTAATCATACAACAAAAGAATACTGTGTGTACTGGAACCCGATTTGAATTTTGCTTTTCATTATGTACAATGAACACACGTGGAAATGGCTGAAAATCTCTTTGTGATGATCACGTGGTATCTGTGGCGATCACATGACACAGCTGATATTACATAAAATCCTGTTGAGTTTGCCATGGATAGAGTCTTTACTATCGCTCTGATCACGGCAACACGACGTCGAACTGGTCACGCCACCACGTCACGGTGTTCGTCACGCCATCACGTCACTGTGTTCGTCACGCCACCACGTCATGGTGACGTCACATGCATCCCATCCAACTGTTCAGATCATTTTTCCAAGCGCAATTGCTGCAGCGCTAAACGTCGATATCTCGCACAGACAATGATGACGTCACATCTTGGTTATGACGTCAGAGGTGAAAGTATCACATATCACAGATTTTGGCGACCTGGCGTAAGATTTGCAATAAAACTAAGGCCTCGATTGACATCGCATAGTTCATTTACGTGTTTCGCCTCACTAGACCAATGTGGACAGGTCCGCGAGGGGTTAAGAATGGCCTCAGGGCTGTTTGCAATGGAACCTGAAACAGACGACAAAGATTCATATTTTTTGCGCAAAATGTTTAACAAATAATACACACTTAAGGTCAACCGTAATCTTTATGTGTTTCTCATTCCAACCTCAACCTGCAAGAGAGCGGATGCGCGAAAATTATCAATACAAAAAGAAAAGAAAACAGTGTTTTTCACTAATTGTGTAACTTTTACGAAATTGTAAAATTTAGAACACTTGGTCTGTAAATAGATTTCAGACGTAGATCGAGTTGGGAAACACAGAAACCCATACGGACAACCTGATAGATGGATACAGCCTATTCTATCGCATACAGAGTGAGTGAGTTAAAGCTGAGTTAAATCTGGATATCAATATGTAATAAAGGTGTGTCTTAAGAATGAGTGAGTGAGTGAGTGAGTTATGTTTAACGCCGCTTTTAACAGTATTCCAGTTATATCACGGCGTGTCAGCTTAATGTGGGAGGAAAGCCCAAAGTGATGCAGGTCTCAGACTTTTTCCACTTCGGTGAAACCCACGAGCACGGGTATGGTGCTGACAAACCTAGAAACATAATCGGAGCGGGATTCGAACCCACAATCATAGGTTTCTACCAAAGAATCCGGTGATGTATCAAGAATACATCTAATAGCAAATACACTTCCGGTTTGTCATTCGTATTTCAAAAAGCACATCATATACTGTTGGAAATAAACAAAGCAACAACTGTGAAAGGAGTGAGTGAGTGAGTCGAGTTTTAACGCCTCTTTGAACGGTCAGTATTCCAGTTATATCACAGCGTGTCAGCTTAATAATAGAGGAAAGGCCGAAGCGATGCAGGTCTAAGACGATTAACACTTCGGTGAAACCCACGAGCAGGGGTATGGTGCTGACAAACTTAGAAACATAATCTGGGTGAGCCGGGATTCGAACCCACGACCCCAGGTTTCTGCAGGGCCCAAGGGACGCAACTCTATGAAAGGAAACTTGAAACACCATTAATATCAAATAGAGCGACACCATCGCATGATAACAACTTGTTCATGTGAAAACATGTTAGATAATGCAAACGTTTTCAGAGCCATTTGAACTTGGTTCTGTCTGTAGCTAACTGAATAGTAAAACATCATGAAATACATTTAAGGATTGCGCTTCGAAGCAAAGATAATGTCCAACGTTTTATTTTGCAAAGTGTCTGATCTTATATAAAAAATAAAAATCAGAAGATGTCAGTGTCGCGTTAATGGCCCAAGACTAATATATCCAGCAGACAAAATGAACTACGCACACTACAACAAAGGAATCTTTAGACGCGTTATTTCACGTCAAGCCCTGTGCGCTCTTGACGTCAAGGCAGTGATATGTGAAGGTGAAGGACGCGATGTAGTACAATGCAAAAGCGCAATAACCCTGTGACGCGTCTAGAAAAGCCGAGGATAATTGTCCTGTTAATACCGTCTGACTCGCATAATCAACGAAGCTTGGGCTATTAATGTTTTTGTGTGACCTACTTTAATGCCGTGTTCTAAAGTTATGTCTTTTTATGTTCCCAGCGTGCAAGCCTAGCGAAGATGTACTTTAGCAATGTGAATGTTGATGTAATGGTTTGAAAATGATGGTGTGTTCATGAAGTGTGGCACAGTGGTATCAAGGATGTCCTTGACGTCATATAGCCCGAATTAGGGAATGAGTTGGGTTGTTCGCTGTCGTTACCATTATTCTGGTAACAGTGAACCGATGAGTATAGTTTTACGCCGCCTTTAGCAATATTCCAGCAACATCCAGCGGGAGGACACCAGATATAGGTTTCACACATCGTATCCACGTGGGAAATCGAACTGGTCCTTCCCGTGACGAGCGAACGCTTTCACCACTAGGCTACCCCACCGCCCCGTTATCTGAACAGCAATGTTAAAGTCCTTCACCTTGTCAAAGAACATCTTCCCGAGGCAAAAGAGTTAACTGACTTTAAAAGTCCAGTTTCCACCCTTGCCGAACTAGGCTGGAATTCATGGGCTCGATCGTAGCGCCACCAGTGGCTATTACGAGTTATGTGCTTTCTATGCCTCTCCTATTGACCAATCAGATTCAACCTGTCGTATCACTTGCATTTGCTTCAAACAAAACGGTGGCGCCCAGTCAAGACGATCTGATCGATAATCAAGACAAAACGAGTCTTACATCGCGAATTGCATCAAATCACGTGAGCACCTTGATTAAAAACATGAAAAGATATAGAAAATATCTGTTGACAACGAGTTAGCGGTGCACATGCTTTGCAAATCCTGCAGTCGACCGAAATCTGCATGACACTTTACGAACCGGATTTCGATTTCGGTGTGCGAATTTGATTGGACTATGCATAGACTCGTTAGTCCAGCCAAAATGTAACTCCATAATACCACCCTAGTTCGGCAAGGGTGGAAACTGGACTTTTATAGTCAGTTAACTTCCCTTACCTCGGGGAGATGTCAAAGAAGGAATACAGTCATTTAAGACTCGCATCTGGACCTCTTTTGTCAACATATTCGTGTGGTGTCAATCAACCATTGAGTTTTTGTTTATCTGCATGTAAAACATTATGGAAGGGAGAGTGAATATGGTTTTACGCCGCCTTATCAATATTCCAGCAAGATCAAGGTGTTGGGAACCAGACATTTGGCTTCACACATTGTACACAGTGGAAAATCGAACTAGGTCCTTCGCGTGACCAGCTTACACCACTAAGCTATACACACCCCATAATACAAGAACTAATAACGTCTAACGAGGAGCAACAGATTCCGAAATCGATTGTTATAGTTATTTTTTTCACAAGTAATATTTTCTTAACCAATACGTTGTGAAACCCTGTTCACATGAACGAATCATTGTAACGCAGTAAAGTCCGTGATATTGAGAGGATGGGGAACGTCTCAAGGATTAATGTGTTCTGGATTGACGAGGTCTCACTCTATACAGGTGTCCCGCTTCGGTACATCTCAGTATTACCAACGTCAGTTAACGTCCTCGTTACGTTGACAAACTCCTGGATAGGATCAACATAGGATGTATCATCTATGACCAATCTCCTCGTGTACTTCTTTATAGTTTGAAACTTGGTTGTCCTACTGAACGCGACCGCGTAACAGATGGTATGTGTTTTTGTCATTATGTCATGCGCAACTAGGTTTATCTTTTTGTGGGACACAGGTGGACCAGCTGTCTGAAACGCCGCAATTCGCTGTGCAGAGATGCGTCCAATTGACACGCCAGAAACCTGATTGTGGGTTCAAATCCCGGCTCATAACGATTATGTTTCTATGCTTGTCAGCACCATACCCGTGCTTGTGGGTTTCACTAAAGTGATAAACGTCTGAGGCCTACATTACTTCGGGATTTCCACCCACATTAAGCTTATAGAATGTAAATACTCTGGACTGATTCCGAGCGTGGACGGGTTGTGTACAGAGGGCGATAACTCACCTGTGTTTTGGATGATGATGTGAGGATATAATGACGTAGTATCTGGACAAGTGCAACTTTTATTAGAACGAGGCCGAACTTGAAGCCTACGCACATGCGAGGCCCGTGACCGTAGGGGAGATAACTGTAGTAAGGTCTCTTCTCCTTGTTCTCCTTGCTGAATCTTTCTGGGATAAATCTGTCTGGTTCGGGGAATAGCGTCTCATCAGTGTACATGCTCATCGCCATCACTCTGACTTTCATCCCTTTCCGGAAAGGAATCCCGTCGATTTCACAGTCTTCATTGCATGTCCGTGCAACGCTGAAGGGAGAAAAACAATATATTGTACGCACTTAAACGAGGTGAGATGAAATGGGGTTTCAGTGAGTATGTTTTTCCACCGCCCTTAGCAATATTCTTGCAATATCACGGCGGGCACACCAGAAATTGACTTTATGCATTGTACCCATGTGGGAATCGAACCCGGGTCTTCGGCGTGACGAGAGAACGCGTAACCACTAGGCTACCCCACAGCCCCAAATGGGGTTTAAAGTCGCGTTCAAGAGGTGAGGTGAGGTGAAATGGGGTTTAACGTCGCGTCCAAGATTAATGCACTTATATAGCGACGTGCATGTACGTGTGTGTGTTTGTGTGGCTGCTTGGACTAGCCCGGACTGATGCCGATTTATAGTGCTAGCACACTGAGATACCATGCCCCAGTTTAACATGAATACCCCTCTCAGACACAGTATACTGACTCCGGGCCGACCAGTCCTTGTTTTAGCCCCTTAATGCCGAGCACCAGACAGGGTAACAACAAGTACCATCTTTTAACGTCTTTTGGTATGACGCGGCTGGGGATCGAACCCCGGACCTTTCGCTCTCCGGGCGGACGCTCTACCATTAGACCACGGAGGCGGTCCACGTTAAAGAGTTCAGCGAAGTGCATACAAGTGTATATGACTGCTGGTACTAGTCCGGACTCGTGGTGGTTTCATAATGCTAGGTCATTGAAATACATACGGCGGTTTAACATGGATACCAAATTCAGTGCAGGGATTCCGAGCCGACCAGTCCTGGTTTTATCGCCTTAATTTCAGGCTGGGTAACAACAAGTACCATCTTTGAAGTATTTTGGCATGAAGCGACAGACGCCCTATCCACAGTAACAAGGTGGAGATTCGAACCTAGGACTTCGGCGTGATTAGCAAACTCCGGGTATATAGAACTGGCTTTCAGCAACCCATGCTTGTCTTAAGGGGCGACTAACGGGATCGGATGGTCAGGCTGGCTAAGTATACAGGCTGCCGTCATATATATATTGTTGAGTGCGGCGTTAAACAACAAACAAACAAATAAAACCCCACAACCCTTTCTTAGAAGTATGAACTGTACATCGCGCGTAAACGTACATGTATTTGAAAAAAACCTTGCATTCATGTTTGCGTGTGTGTTAGTCCTGCACCATGACCGTGGAATATATTTATTTTATGAAAAAAAAAATCTAGAAATGCATACAAAAGCAAGTCTAGCCAGCTCAAGCTAGCTCTATTCCACATCAGCATGGCGAATTTTTTTTATAAGGATATTGTGTAATATAAGATTTAAGAGACTAAATGTTAGTCTACGTGTGTGTGTGTGCGTATACAATGAACACAATCAAGGTACCTACCCAGGAATCACGGGGAACACTCGACTGGTTTCCTCTATGACCATATCCAGATATTCCATCTGCGAAAGCGTCTCGTAGTCGATTGACTGAAATCAACAATGAGTAAAGGTACCATCCTCGCAAGCCAGGGGTATTATTGCTGCTGGGGCTCTTAATTGTATACAAGTCAATTATGTTCATTTGACCTCATTGAAAATCAATGACCGCATCACTGCCACAAAATAGAATTTGGTCGCTGAAGTTGAAGCAATCGTATACGTGTTCTGACAGCTAAGATGTTACATTACCTCATTTTGTGAAAGTCTTTCATCTATTTCCTCGACCAACTTGCTCTGAGCGTCTGTGTTGGTAGCCAGGAGGTAGAGAGCAAACGACAGAATGGAATTTGTAGGACCAAGGCCGCCCCCAACAAGGCTGGTAGACTGACTAAGGACTTCTTCGTCCGATAGGTGGCGCTTTACCTCGTTGTTATCTTCGTCAATAGAAAGTGAGTACCCTTCTATGAGACGACGTAGGAGATTGGTTGATTTGTCTTCCGGGCAGTCCTCCATCTGTCAACATGACGCTGATTGGTCAAATGACCCGAGGCTAGATCTTTTTAATAATATTACGTCATAACCTACTCCAGGAGCTTCGATTTGCTTAAACATTATTTCAACACCCATTGTCCCATTACAACAACAGCATCGGATATTGAATTAACCTTGCATGTGTTTTTCTTGGTTCGCCGATCCCCAAACCTTTAAAATCCAACATTAAAAAAAATGAATGACAAGGGTTTTTTATACCGCCAAAGGTAAAGATCGTTTTGACAATATAAATAATCCACGCGTACGGATTTTTATATTACTGAAACAATTTGTTCCAGATAATTTGATGAATAATCATTTCGAGTCAACTGCGCTGTCAGATTTTATATACATAATATATCTACAGACACAAACCAAGACAAGGTTATTACTTTTATAACCTACCAATCAAAATCAAACTTACAGATAACTAAAAAACATATATCACAATGCATTTTGTTATTTTAAAAATTCCGACTTACCCAACACATTTTGTATTATCCAAATCCATAAACTAAAATAAAAGGCCGGCATTACACTTATTTGAAAGCTTCTTTCCAAATAGATAGACAATCGGCTGAAATAAGTACCTTTTGTTTTTCTTTCTCTATGAGTTTTCCCATATTCTTTAAGTGCAGTGCGTGGAGCTGACGATGTTCCGTGTCAAACAACTGCAGAAACGACGTGAGTGACGGGAACAACCCTGTAAGGAGAAGGGGCAAGTTAACATAATGTTCAAGTAAATGGCTCAAACATATAAGCACAATTTGTTCAAACATAATATACATGTATGTTGTGTCACGCCGCAGTCAGTGATCGTCCAGCTGTTAGTCGGACTGTTAATACGATAGGGTTGGGGCCAGGTAGACAAACTGTTGGTACCATGATCAATGACGGGTGCCATCAGGGTACACAATCAGCCATGACGTCACGTTTCACCACCCGATCCACTTCAGGCATAAGGGACGCAGGTGGCCCAGTCGTCCGTGTCGCCGAAATACAGAACAGAGTTGCGTCTCTTAGACACGCCTCAAACTTATGGCCGAGGTTTTTTTGGCAGAGGTTCCTTATGAATATGGAAAGGGGTTTGTCTTTTATTTTTTCGAATCCCGATTCGCCCCGATTATATTTCTAGGTCTGTCCGCATCATACCCTTGCTCGGTGGTTTTACCAAAGTGGTAAACGTCTGAGAACTGTATTACTTCGGGCTTTCTTTCCTCATTAAGCCAAAATATAACTGGAATACTGTTCATAGCAGCATTAAACTCAATTCACTCACTCACTTCAAGCATGTGGGAGTAAGAATGGTTTTACGCCGCTGTTAGCAGGTATTCCAGCAATATCGCGACCAGGGACACCAGAAATGGGCTTCACATTGTACCTTTGAGGGGAATCGAACGCGGACCTTTTGCGTGACGAGCGAACGCTTTAATTACTAGCCTACCCAACCGCTGCCTTAGGCATGGGATACAAGGGATCTATTCTACTCCGTCATGCCAACGGGGTCAAGGCCCCATTCCACGAAGCGATCTCAGCGCTACGATTGTTCTATGACAATGTATCGTATGGGAGTTTCATCGTTTAAGCGCTGAGGTCGCTTTCGGAACAGGACCCTGGTAACGTATGAGGTTTTACCTTGGACATTTAATGGATTGGGTGAAGAGAAGTGTTCTTTAAAATACAGTAAACTGCGGTTATAACGAACTCAAAGGGACCACTAATTTTAGTTCGTAATAACCGTAGTTCGTTATAAGCATATATGCAGCATATAAACAACAAATGGCCTGGACTAAAAACTAAGTTCGTTATATCGGTCAGTTTGTTATAAGCGTGTTCGTTATAAACGTAGTTTACTGTACATGAAGCTATGATCGTTATGATTTCTCCAAAACGTACGTGCAAAGCCCGCGAGTGGGTTCTCGGCGGCTCCTGATTTGTTGAATGCCAGCATGAATCTATAGAGAAGCTCCTGGTCGTTATTGAGGCTGTCACAGTTGTAGTCAAACGCTGCGTTGGCGAAAGCGTCGAGGGTGTATCGCTCCGTTAGACTGAAACAGAACGCATAGTCTGGGTAACGACATCGAGTGATGTACCCATGTGGAAATCCCACCTGGGCCTTCGGCGTGACGAGCGACCGCTCTAACCGCTGGGCTACCCCACCGCCCAATTCGTCACCACTCGCCCATTTCCGTAACCTGCAAGAAGACTCGTCCCCCTATCGATGAATGTTATGCGCAATAATACGACAAACCAATCAGAAAGCGCGTATGCATTCAAGTTCTTCGTCAAAGAATCCCTCAGAAATAATTATTGATTTTACACGTCTTGCATTTAAAAATATACCCACGACACAGTTAAATGTGTTCAATCATACTGTATTATTCCGCATGTCCAGATGTGTTTTAAATTGCATCTGAAATATATATGATATATGGGGAAATATATGTGAACCATTACGCAACGAGTTGACAATTGTTTTAGGTATGCCCGTTTGCGCTAAGACGGAACCCGGTCGCAATTCGGCTTGTCCCGGAATAACACGAGACGGTCACGAATGGCCACCGCCTAGCACGGTAATGGTGGTGAGGGACCACGAGAATATAATCACGACGAAATGGGATTCGAACCACTGTTTCTAGCACACCGAAGGGACGTGACTCTACACATGGAACTATCGGAGGGTGATGGGAGGTGGTCGATGTCAGGCTGACTCTATTCAATTACTCACTCGGCGATGTCCAAACTTTCCACGCCATCTTGAACTCCAGCTTCAAGTCGTTGTAGTAGTTTCCTTGATGTCCGGGTTACGCCGGGGACAATCTGTAAACAAACACCAACATTATACACCAAGTATCACGTGAGGTCCCGCCCGATATACTGACTGAACGGTGGGTGTTTTAGGGCTTTTCCCTATCACAGTTGACATTCCTCTTTGCTTGAGTGGGTGAGTATGTTTTTACGCCGTTTTTTATATATTCCAGCAATATCACGGCGGGGGACACCAGAAATGGGCCATTCGGGAATAGAACCCGGGTCTTTGGCGTGACGAGCGAACGCTTTAACCACTAGGCTACCCCACCGCCCTTCTTTGCTTGAAGCCCGTCTCTAGGCAGACGTAACACAGGTAGCCTAGTCATCTCAGGCGACGCAATTCGCGGGGTGCAGTTGTGTCCCTTCGGCGTGCCAGAGTTGCGTCCCTTCGGCGTACCAGAGTTGCGTCCCTTGGGCGTGCCAGAGTTGTGTCCCTTCGGCGTGCCAGAGTTGTGTCCCTTCGGCGTGCCAGAGTTGCGTCCCTTTGAGTGCCAGATCCTGCTGACCTGGCTTTTTTTATAAGTGTGCAATGGTGACAGTGTAACCATTTTTGTAACATCGGCGCATAAATTTTCACAGCGGCCGGGAAAATTTGGATAAGAATATTTTCTATTATTTGAATAGGGCGCACGGGTGGAACGATTCGCTTTGCAGAGTTGCGTCCCTTGGGCACGCCAGAAACCTATGAGTGTGGGTTCGAATCCCGGTTCGCCTCGATTATGTTTCTAGGTTTGTCAGCTCGTGGGTTTCACCGAAGTGGTAAACGTGAGACTGTATCACTTCGGGCTTTCCTCCCACATTAAGCTGACACGCCGCGATATAACTGGAATACTGTTAAAGGCGCCGTTAAACCCAACTCACACACTCACTCACTATCATTGGATTGAATGTTGGCAGAAAGTTCAGGGCGGGTTGGAGATGGGAAACACAGAAACAAACACGGACAAGCTATTCTACTTACCTCCTTCACAGATTTGGCATTGAACGCCTTGGCAACCACCATTCTCTGTCGTTTCCACAGTTCGCCATTAGCGTTTAGAATGCTCATGTCATCCAAGGAGTTTAGGAAAGGGGTGCACGGCTGTGACGAGAATACAACACGTGGTCACACACGAAGCAAAATACTCTTTTAGAAATGACTTAGTTGTATTTGGACGCTTATATTTCATTTGTGTTTTTCTGTTGGTTTCAGCTGAAATGTTTCAGCGCAAATCGGCTTGATTTTAGAAACCGACCCGTTTAATATTTTGGGATTTGGTTTGGTACGGGGTGGTTTGGGGTGGATTTCTGTCACTGCCACAAGGCAGCATATTTACTTTGGAAGGAGGAGATTTTAAGTTCTAGGGAACACCCACATGTTTCATTACATCTTTCAAATATCAAATGGTCGGTATATATGTATGTATATATATATATATATAGTTATATAGTTATATAGTTATAGTTATTATTATAATATTTATATATATTATATAGTTATATATAGTTATATATATATAGTTATACATAGGTATTTAGAGGGAAGACTTAAGTCGGTCATGTTTTATTCAAATAGAAATTTTCAGGTACGTACCGGCCTTTCGCTGAAGCAGGCGAATCTTCTGACCAGAATCTGTTGTGTCAGCCATGGATCAGAGATGACAATACTTGGGTGTAGGCCCTCGTAGAAACTGTCAGAGATAAATATACATCAACACACTCGCGGTTACAACAGTCGCGTCAATACGTACCGAATAACGAGAGAGTGATAACATAGTCCCTTTGACCAGAGAGCAAATGTTTAATGTTCAGATATATTCCATACGTCTTTCATCGGCCAGTAAAAAGTCAAATCTGGGCTACTGAAACCAGTGATTGATAGAATGAGCACCGACCGAGGCCACCTGGATCCGATGACGATCAGTAAAGTTATTTAGTTGTTTAGTTGTAAGTCAAAATTAAATGTGTCATTCATAACCGAATGGATTAAGCCGTATTTGTTGTTAGCTAATAAAACTCACCCAAAGACTTTTCCATACTGTCTGCTCCAGTCTTTAAACACGTCAAGTGGAAACTGAAATAGAAAGATTGACGCTGTACTGACGGGCGCGGTGGGGTAGCCTTGTGGTTAAAGCTTTCGCACGCCACGCCGAAGACCCGGCTCGATTCCTAATATGGGTACAATTTGCGAAGCTCATTTCTGGTGTCCCCCGCCGTGATATTGTTTGAACAGTGCTAAAAGCGGTGTAAAACCATACTCATTCATTCACTTACTCTTAAAACTAATGCAATTGATTTAATAAATACAGCATAAAAGACAATTTGTGTCTCACAAGACTCTTAATGACTGCTGTTATCTATCTATCGGTATCATTTCGTTTTCCACGGGGAACACGTGCAAATCGTGCACGTCCTACCGTCGCTAACGTGCCTGTCATGTCAATTTCTTAACGTTGTAAATGACATTGGTGATGCTTACGTGCTCTCGAAATACTTTATTATTTTGTTTCAGAGTAAATGTTACGTGCAGAAATATTGACCAAATGTTACATTACCCTTCTATCAACAAAAAGCAGTACCGAGTTCGAGTAATGAAGGTTTTCATGTATATGTTTCCTTGAAACATATTTGAAACAAAGTTAATAGTCTAAAAAATATTATGAGATCTGTCAACGAAAGCTTTGCCGAGTTTCGCTGTATGTTGTGATTTAAAAAGTTGAAACTTTCACAAATATATGACGACAGCCGTTTTCATCGACGTTCACGACAAACTGGCGAACCGTCCTATGTATTGACACCGGCGCTCAGTGTTATGCGGTCTCCGAAACTCGGTGACACAGAAACTAGGCTTTGCTCTATATTTGCATATAACTTAACATGACAAGCGTTGGCTTCAAAGTTAAACACAATAGCCTGCAGTGCCATCCACAACCAACACAACGCGGTCCCTGCACGGGCATGCGTGTAATACTAGATCACTCGCGGCTGTACAGTTAATATGCACGGTGGGGTGGGGGTGGGGGTGGGGGGTGGGGAGGGGTGGGGGGGGGCTTTGTGTGTGTGTGTGTGGGGGGGGGGGGGGGGGGGGGGGGGTGTGCCTGGAACATATGCCGCATCCCGCCACACCACACCTGATCCACCAGCATAACGTTTTTACAATTTTAAAATTTACTCTCTCTCTTAAATTCATTGAATAAACTTTTGAGTACATATACAGCAAACAGAGGTGAGGTGAGGTGAAATTGGCGTTTAAGTCCAAGATTATTGCACTTATATAGCGACGTGCATGTACGTGTGTGTGTTTGTGTGGCTGCTTGTACAAGTCCGGACTGATGCCGATTTATAGTGCTAGCTCACTGAGATACCATGCCGCAGTTTAACATGAATACCCCACTCAGACACAGTATAATTACTCCGAGCCGACCATTCCTTGTTTTAGCCCCTTAATGCCGAGCGCCAGACAGGGTAACAACAAGCACCATCTTTTAACGTCTTTTGGTATGACGCGGCCGGGGATGGAACCACGGACCATCCGCTCTCCGGGCGGACGCTCTACCACTAGACCACGGAGGCGATAATATCAAACAGAATTAAAACAACACTTAATACACTCTTGTACACGAAATCCAAACTGGCTTTATCCCTGGAAGATGTATGAGCGAAAACTTACGACTGCTATATGATATTTTGTTAGAGACAAAATTACAAAATAAGCCTGGTTTACTATTACTTATTGATTTTGAAAAAGCTTTTGATACTGTTTCAAAACAATTTACCATGTTGACACTGGAAACGTTTGGCTTTTAACCTAATATAAGAAAATGACTATACATACTGTATACTGAATTGAATAAAAAATATTTTTAAAAAAAGTTAGTTAAGAAAGTTTTTAAAAAAAATTAAAATATAATTTACTCCCTTGGTAATTATTTTCAACAAAATTACACAATTACATTAGGAAAATAGACAAATTGTTCACCCCCTTCTCATAAAAAAGCTACTATCCCCATCCGAACACATTGGTAGTTGGATGGCTTTTCGCATTATTCGGTCAAAAATATTTAATGTTTATTCCATAAAAGCGAAAGAAGGTCTCCACGTGTACACTAACATTGTTTTACAACATCGTCATTTCCCCAGAAATCTGTCAAGTTTATTTTGTTTCAAAATGAAGCGAAATTATTTCCTTGTTTGAGCTACCTCCTTGTTTGGCCCCGTTAAATGTGCTGACGCGGCAACATTTAACCCCAAAGCTTTTGACATGTTTACCTTGGATTTAAACTCGGCCACGTTACCAAAAAGAAGAGACGGTCTGGGTCCTGGGATGCCAAGCCTTTCAAAGACAGAATGGCACTGCTTCAGATACCTGAAATATAACACACTACAGTTACCAAAGTTACGCAATTTATTTTTTCGATAACATCCCATGCATAACCCCTTTACAATTGCAAATTGAAAACTGCCCCAATCATAGACCAAAGGTCAATAACTGAGGAAACATTCTTTCAAAATTACAAGTATAAGTTAAAAAAATTCAAACGAGGCCCAACTTTATTTATGAAGGGGTGGGATGGAGGGGTCGGATTTCCCGGATAGGGGTGGTTTCGGAGGGTAGGGGTGGGGTGAGAAGGGACAGTCCCGTTAACATGTGAATATTTAACAATAAGACGGAGTGATTTGGGGGATGAAGGTTTTTTTTCCGTTTAACCATCGCTGTCAGACAGGACACGAAACGCTAAATTCAAGGCAAACTTCACCTTTCAGCACCGAGAACAATCTAGTTGAAGATGTCTGAGTCAAATCGATCTTCGTAGCTATTTGCATTTTACTCCCAAATTCCCGTGGGCTCACAGACTCGGGGCACGATGTGGTTACAGCAAGCTTGTTAAGTGTGTGGCCCATACCGTACGATAATACTTCAAAACAATACGTGTCTATTATACCTTATGATTCTTCTTCTTAATAATACAAGTGTAATATACATAATGGTTATAGGTCTATCATACGTGTCTATTATACATTATGATTCTTCTTCTTAATAATACAAGTGTAATATACATAATGGTTATAGGTCTATCATACGTGTCTATTATACATTATGATTCTTCTTCTTAATAATACAAGTGTAATATACATAATTCTACCCCGGATCTCCACGGGACATAACCCTACAATGGGTACTGGAAATCTGTTTAGTTTTGAACCTAGGTAAAACATTCTACCACGAAAGCTGCAAAATGCGGCGTAAACAATATTCACTCACACACTAACTACGATGTTCCAGCAAATATGATTAACACATTTGATATTCGAACTTAAAGCGAAAGTCTGTTGGTTTGTGTTCGCTTTCGACGCCGAGGACCCGGGTTCGACCCCCATATGTAATGGTTAAACAAAATGGCTAGTCAATACCCGGAAGTAAGTGACGAACTGTTTTCCGTACAGTTATTTTGAGTTCCTGGTAACCGAATTATGCTCGAGTTTGACGCCCCTGTCTTATAACATCAACATGTAAATTGAATGATATGGTGGTACAGGATCCGCTGTGTCTCCTGGTCACTCGGTACACAAGCGAGGGCAGTGACCTACCCGGTCTATGCGTGTACCCTACACAGTGCATATAATCATGGCGCGATCCGTCACTCGGAGACAAATGTTGAGTCTTGTCTAGTGGCTATCGATCCCGAGGGTTTGATCAGATCAATTTGGATGCGTTGAACTCATTTATCAACTCCCGTCACCCCCGCCCATCATACCCACCTATAACGTTATAATGTCATGACATTATATACCAGATATGATTTCGAATTTAAAGGCTCAAGGAAAGGGTTTATGAAAGAGAAGTGCGGGCGAATTTAACGTAAATCGGATGATACGCGTGCAAAGCGATAATATCGCGTATTCACATACAAATATACCCTTACATTTTCAAGATGTAATATTTACAAAGGGGGTGAACTAGTGATATGATACATGAATAATTAATTACAGCTTTGGTTTGAATAAAGTAAACACTATGTTAACACATATGTTACAAGTTTATATGTTTACAATCAACTGACAGGTGAAGGCATAGTCACTCCAGTGATCCAGTGGACCGTGATATATATATGAATGAATGAATGAATGAATGAATGAATGAATGAATGAATGAATGAATGAACTTGTACTTGTCAACCATACTCTGTACATCACCTGCTTGATAACGGCGTTAGAACCTACACCAAAACGTCGCTCTTATTTTTTTATAAAGAAGTTGTTCATCCATATATCTTATCCTTACTTAGACCTCCAACTTCTAAACGCCTCTCAAAGAAACTAGCGGTATAGCGGACGAGTGAAATAGCGGACTAGTGTTCGAGAGATATAATATATTGGTCTAGTGATTTAATGGTCAAGCGTTATAGTTGTCTAGTGATATAAAGATCTAATGGTCTATTGATCGAGCGGCCTAGAGGTCTAGTGACATAGTGGTCGATTGACCTAGAGGTCTAGTGACATAGTGGTGGATTGACCTAGAGGTCTAGTGACATAGTGGTCGATTGACCTAGAGGTCTAGTGACATAGTGGTGGATTGACCTAGAGGTCTAGTGACATAGTGGTGGATTGACCTAGAGGTCTAGTGACATAGTGGTCGATTGACCTGGAGGTCTAGTGACATAGTGGTCGATTGACCTAGAGGTCTAGTGACATAGTGGTCGATTGACCTAGAGGTCTAGTGATCGACACTCACCGTCAAAACACACTTATTGCTGGAGAATATTGACCTTAAACTGTGAGTACCGCGGGCGGCCGACATGGACCGAGACCAGGTTAAACAGGGAGCGAGACGGTCGTAAGCCCCTGAGAGTTGACATAGCCCGGCAATTCAAACATCGCCTTCCTCACGAATATCGGTCACTAGAACGAGACACAAAAGTAGGCCTGTTCTGTCGTACTGGGCGACCGACCTTGGGTGTGGCAGTCGGATCAATAGTAGTAGTAGTAGTAGTAGTAGTAGTAGTAGTAGTAGAAGTAGCATGATATTATTATTATTATTATTATTATTATTATTATTATTATTATTATTGTCATTATTATATACAGATATTAAAATACATAAATGCAACAAAGAGGGTTTGGGTGATCCTGGCACAGTCATCAGCTCAGGGCCTTAATTATTAATATTAGGAGCTGATTTGTACGCGCCGCACTGCAAAACGACCAGTTTGATAAACTACACCACATCGCGTGTACCAAAAAATTAAACCATTTTGTAAAAATAACAATATCTGGAATTTGTGGTAGACCTTAGTTTAAGTTAAAGTTAAAGTGTTTCAACTAAACTAGCTAACTCGCAGTCCTAGAATGTTTAAACTTCTTTAGCAATTAAGGATGCGGGACGGAACACCTGGCAGCGGGCATAGCATCTCTTTATAGCATGCTTGAGTAGCAGTTATACCACTGGATTGAATTGTCGTGAAGGTAGATGACACAAGACAGCATACACCATGTTTGATTGTGGCTTTACAATTAACAAACCAGAAATGGTTACTCGATGGTGATGTATTTTATACGGGGATCACAGATGAGGTTCGGACGAAGTTTGTAGTGTTTCGGCGACTGTTTTCAGCCTAGTAATTTAATTTTTTTGTCAAATCCAATTTTTAAGTGTGTACTTTCTTTTGCCCGGCAATGTATAGAGTATCGTTTAAACCACCTTTTAAGTTCAGTTCAGTAAGCCTGGTTACGTAGCCGTCAGGTGATTAAATTATTTTTTAAATAATAAATTAATTTAATTAAAAATATTTAAAGTTCTTTAACACATGTTTACAGGTTGTATTGGTTAATAAATGCAAATTTCTATAATACAAAAAATACATATTGTATAATATACACATGTAGGTTATTTCTAGAGTGCATGACGCTGCAAATACAATGTCACGATATTTATGAGATCCATAGAGCATATTTCTATATGCCACTGCGTTAATTAAAGGACGGGAATTGCATGTCGTTGTCAGATCTTATTTTCATAACAACACGTGACATGAAATACGCAAGCCTTTGGGTATTAGATGAAATGATGAACTTGAATGTAAATCGTCCACAAATGTGTCCACTCATGTCATGTTTATAACTTGCGATATTAATTGCTGATAAAATACACAACTTTCATCTTGATATACGCAAATATGAAACAAATTCACATGAATATCACTATTTTTATAATTTAATAAAATTATTTGCAGGCCCATCACGGGATATAAAACTTTTAAATATAATCGACACAATCGAACAACATTTTTCCAATATATATACATATTTCTTTGATCAGTACCAACCAATTTTCACTGACCAAATGATTTTTAACGACGTCATGGCCAATCGCACATGTACATTCCTAAAAATACGCTATACATAGCAAATGCGGCAAGAACATTTTGAAAGGGCAATAAATAAATGAAAAGGAAAAAAAATCTTTAACTCACCGGTATAGCATAAACAGAGCGCAGACGAGTAGAACGAAGGTTACCATAGCGGTGTAAGTTGTATATATATTGCTCGGCAAGGTGATATCGAGTCGATTGCACTGTCACTCAGAAGGCTGTCATTCGATGTGCCGCATGTGTCACACTTCCTACAAGATTTATACACCAGCTCTGCTGGGGGTCCTCGCCGTGGACTGGCTATAGTCAGTTTCAGCAAAGTCCCGTGACCTCCGCTGTTCGACAATCACTAATTGCGCCGAGCTAAGAGCGGGGTATATGTGCGTCGTGCTAGTTAAAAGTACATTTGCGGGCGGGAATTGACCCTTGACTGACGTGGTGTCAGTTGGAACCTGATAACATTCCCAAAGTACATGTCCTTTCAAAGGAGCTGATGTGTGAATATTTGAAATGATGAAATGGCCTACTGGGATTAAAAGTACATTGTTTCTCAAAGAACATTAATGGATGTCAACTTCTTTATTATAAGGAGCAAACCGTTTCCGAGTAAATACTTACTCCTTCATCAGGTGAATAAATGCTATGAAGCAGAGAACATATATGTACCTGTAAGAACAACAAAAGTAATGAGATGACAAAGGTGGCCATGCTTGTCGTAATAGGCGACCATACTTGTCGTAAGAGGCGACTAACGGGATCGGCTGGTGAGGCTGGCTGACTTGTTTGATGCATGTCATTGATCCCAGTTGCGTGGATCGATGCTCATGATGTAAATCACTGGATTGTCTGGTCCAGACTCGATTATTTACAGACCGCCGCCGTAAAGCTGGAATATTGCTGAGTGCGGCGTAAACCAACAAACAAAAACATAGGAGGGAACACTACAAGGGAAGCCAACAGTTAATTGGCGCTGAAAGGCATTTCATTGTTTCTGTATCGAATCACTTATCAATTTAATATTTTCTATTTCAATTAATGAAAACATGAAACAAATAGTTGAAGATCGTTGTGATATATATTTATGTTATTAAATATATGACGATTCAATCAAAAAATTGATTTTTATCATTCCGCATATTTCCTTGATTAAATAATACAGGAAACCAAATTTGAGTAGAAAATGAATTAGTCATAATCAATGAAATTAGTAATAAGCTAAGAATAAATAAATATGTGAATCATCTGACCAACCGGAAAATACTTCCTCTCTGGCAACACTGAACATATCTGTCACCATACGTATGTGATTCTAAGTGCTCGCGGTTGTGATTATGATTGACTGTAAATAGTCATTGCTTTCATTTAAGTTCCCATTGACATACTTAAATGGAAATAGATTTATATTGGGGAGAAAGTGATGGGGTATGGGATATCATTACTGGTACTACAACAATAGAGAGAGGGGGGAGGGAAGGAGAGATAGAAACAGACATTGAGAAACACACAGAGAGAGGGGGAGGCAGCGATATACAGGGGGATGAAGAGAGAGAGAGGTTGACCGATAGACGGTGAGTGAGTGAGTATGGTTTTACGCCGCTTTTAAAATATTCCAGCAATATCACGACGGGGGACACCAGAAATGGGCTTCACACATTGTACCCATGGTGGGAATCGAGCCCGGGTCTTCGGCGTGGTGAGCGAACGCTTTAACCACGAGGCCACCCGATCGCCCCAACGATAGACAGAGAAACAGAAGGGGAGAAGGAGAGAAAGATGTACACAGGTAAATAAGGTGAGACAGATGGAGAGACAGTAACGCGAAACAGTTATAGATAGATGGGGTAACAGAGAGTGCGAGAGAGAGATAGATGAAGAGAAAGAGGAGAGAGAGAGACAGAGAGTGTCAGAGAGATGAGAGAGAGAGAGAGAGTGATATGGAACGATGGAGAGAGAAATAGTGAGTGAGTGAATTGGACGTTTATAACCACTTCGGTGAAACCCACGAGCACGTGTATGGTGCTGACAAACCTAGAAACATAATTGTGGCGAACCGGGATTCGAACCCACAATCATAGGTTTCTTGTGTGCCCAAGGGACACAACTCTGCACAGCGAATCGCGGCGCCTTAGAAGACTGGGCCACCCGTGCCCCCTGAGAGAGAAATAGATGGAGATACAGAGATAGATGAAAAGAGATAAACGAGAGAGACAGAGATGGCGAGATAGTCGGCAATACGGAATAGACTCGTCCAAGGGTACCGTTCTGTATTCTGGTTTTGGCTAGAGTACATACACGATCGTACCTGGGGTACACATGTGTACCATCCGTGCCGACAACAACCCCTTCAGCGGGAGAAGAGTGAAAGTATGTAATTTATTATGTACCTGCTAAGTATTTCATAATATTCATGCTCAACGGAAACCTTTATTTATTTTTTATAGTATCCCCCAAAATACGTAAAATTAAACTAAACATTAAGATGCCATAAAACTGTATTATATTTGCTGTTTACAAATCAAAGTTTTTTAAATTGTTTTAAAATGTTTAAAGCCAGCAATGCTACTCATTCTCAACATGCAAGGCACCATAGAGATGGACAGAGCGACCTTCCCTTCCCTCATCAGTTAACAGTAACCATATAGCTTACCATGGGAACAGGCTTGGCACCGATGGTTGGAGAATAGCAGGGGGCTGAGGGCAGTGAGTTGATGGCACAGACTGAATCGTATTACAACTGGACACACTTACTCCCCAAAGTAGAACATACACTGGGTCACCTACACCTATCTGTATCTGATTGGTTGGTTTGTTGTTTTTCGCCGCACTCAGCAACATTCCAGCTATATGACGGCGGTCTGTAAATAATCGAGTCTGGACCAGACAATCCAGTGATTGGTATCATGAGTATCGATCCACGCAATTGGGAGCGATGACATGCATCAGCCAAGTCAGCGAGCCTGACCACCCTATCCCGTTAGTCGCCTTTTACGGCAAGCATGGGTTGCTGAAGACCTATTCTACCCCGGATCTTCACTGAACCCGTACATGTTGGATACGCGTCCGCACCCGGGTTTTTTTTATCCAAGATTCTTTTGGTTGGACATGAAATGACCTGCGGATGGAATGGCCGCTGTTGTGACGTCACACTATTGTGAAGCCCGAGGAATTTCCTTTTCGCACGTCTGCAATATGTGCTACGAATGAATACGTGTGAGAAAAACTACGGATACGTGTAAACGTACATACGGATGCGTGTCAGGGATACGGAGGTGACAGAAAACGGCTGTGATCCCCCTTTAGACTCACGAAACTCACAGACTCCTCTTAACGACACTTGCTTTTACATGCTGAGGACGCACGTCATGTCAAACTGTACTATTCCCGTTCAACAATTTTCAAAACGTTAGACAAACACATTAAACCTACATGATTAACGATTATTGTTTTATTCAGTAGGTACTTGCCACACAATGCCGACAAAACGACCATTTCTTTAAGCTAATTCCTGTCCCAGCAACAGGTGTGGGCACCAATAGCTATCCAATGTTGTACTATTACCCATTTTCGATCTATAACTCGTATGATTAAGTATTTAAAAATCAATTTTATTGTAAATGTTGGCGATCTAAAAATATTCTACGGTTCAATTGAAAGCTTGAAATCCTTTTTTGAAACAGTATGTATGTTTCTATCTGTTCATTTTGAGATTCAAATAAAACTTTCTTTAATGTGTGGTGAGTGAGTTGGGTTTCACGCCGCCGCTGTGAACAGCATTCCAGTTAGGCGTGTCAGCTTCATGTGGGAGGAAAACCCGAAGTGATGCAGGTCTCAGACGTTTACCACTTCGGTGAAACCCACGAGCACGGGTATGGTGCTGACAAACCTAGAAACATAATCAGGGCGAACCGGGATTCGAACCCACAATCATCAGGAACTCTGCACAGCGAATTGTGGCACCTTAGACGACTGGGCCACCCGTGCCCCCTTTAATATATAGACTAACATCCACATGCATCTCCATTCTCAAACTGGTTAACTTAGTCTCGATGAAAGTAAGCATGTAAGTAAATAGTTACTTCCACACGATTTCTTCCATAGCGCTGCGGCACAAAATTACATTCGTTAGCCGTCGGTAAGGGTTCGAATCCCGCTCGCGGCAAACGTTTTTCGTTAAATTGTTCTTTCATCAAAGTCGACCCGTGAAGATCCGGTGTAGAATAGGTCTTCAGCAACCCATGCTTGTCGTAAAAGGCGATTATGCTTGAATTAAGAGGCGACCAACGGGATCGGGTGGTCAGGCTCACTGACTTGGTTGATGCATTTCACAGCATCCCAATTATGTGGATCGATGCTCATGATGTCAATCACTGGATTCTCTGTCCATACTCAATTATTTACAGACCAACGTCATAAACAGCAGGAATATTGTTGAATGCGGCTTTGACAACAAACAAACAAATACCATCAAAGTCATCGATACGAAAGCTCAGTCAATGCCAAGTAGTGTATAACTCAAAATTATGTTAGTTAATACCCGGTCAAAGTAAACAGCCATGGGTCTCGTTTCGTAATACTGCAGGAAAGTACAAACGTATTTCACAACATAACCTTGACCTTTCTTCCTTGTGATCGGGCGACCTCCGACATATGAATATATCAGCCTCATGTTTACACACCCCGGTTAACAGCCGACATGCGCAGCACGAGTTTACACAGTGAGTCGGCTGGACGGGTATATGAGCTTAAAGTACATTGTTGTAAAACCAAACACCTCGCAGCGACTTCGAGTGCGCGCTTTTATCCACAGTACAAATACACATTTTTAATTCACACGTATTCACACGATTGACACTTTTTTTAAAGATGCTTTAACATTCAACTACCGTCCTATTTGCGTGTTTGTGTTCAAGGGTGTGTTAACAAGGAAGTGCATTCCTACGAAGGGAGTGTGTTTGTGTAGCATACCCGTTAAGAAGGGTCAACACTCGTCCATGATCTTCATATTCGCGGGAAATCTTGCTAACACAACGTCGCGTAGGTTCAAACATTTCAAGAGAAATCACGAAGCTATTAGTTCGGACACTTTATCAAACATAAAAGGTATGTTTTCAAGGAAGGGATGGCGAGTTTGCATGTGGTGGGGTAGTCAAGTGGTTAATGTGTTCGTTCCTCGTGTTGATAATCCGGGTTCGATTCTCCAGGCAAAGTGTGAAACTGATATTTGGCGCTTCATAT